CTTCTCCATCAAATCTCTCAAATATATATACAAAATGAAAAAAAGACTCAACAAGTTATTATGATTACTGCACCGTTCTTCATGAAAAAAACAAAGAGAGGGTTCAATATGACTAATAAATTCCAACATAAAATAAATAAATAAACCGCTTTCTAAAGGTCCTCTCACCTTTTTCTGTAAAATGACACTGCAGGAAAACGGCTATGACAGAAGCCCTCTGAACCGCATGGTTTGCCGCTAAATGACAAAACTGAATTACGGTCATGGCCAGAGCTCGTATGTTCCCCAATGGCTTCAAATCCTTGAGATATGAATCAATGTGATATAATCGATAGGGCACAAAGTTCACTGTTAGCTAAAGTGCAATCAAATTTATCCCCATAAGCAAATATTTCCCCCATGTCTACAAGGTACCTTTGGACAACTCAACCAATGGCAACCGACAAGGATCATATTGGATCAACTACGCCATCTAATTAAGTAGACCAGAGACCACGATGACCCAGGCGATGAAACCAAGGTATCCTGATTGGGTCCATCATCACTTCCCCACCATCCGCTTTAACAACAAGATGATGATATTTCTAATTTTAAATATCAAATTTACAAATATATCCCCATGCTGCTACTAAACATCAAATACCACGTACCAATACGTAAAATGAAAGGAGGCTAAAGCGTTAACTTTCTAGCATCAAACAACAGACAAACAACCTGAAATGGCACTCTCAATCTGCTCACAAAATAAAGAAGAGAACACAGGTCCTAATCAGAGGCTAAATTTTGCAAAACTAGCAAACTCAAGAGCATGTATGTATATCGTAAGAGTTGAGAGTGATAGAGAGAGAGAGAGAGAGGTTCCTCATTTTGTGGGCAAAAAATCCTTCATATAACATAATGCAGTTAAAAATATACATTGCCAAAGAAGATGACGTGTGTGAAATTAAAATTTGGGTGAAAAAATTCCTCAAAAATAACCATCAAAATAGAGAGAAGTGAGAACATCAACCTTGATCACATATGCTTCCGAAAGAAAATATGACTAGGGTAAAGTTGACGGTCATAATATAATTATCAGAAAACACAAGAACTGAGGAATAAAACCTTTGATTTGGCTAGGGCTTCCAGCGAACCAAACGTTCGGCGAGCTACTCGTTGTTCGGTTTGATTAAAGCTCGTTTGCGATCGTTTAATTAACTAAACAAACAAACTTGAACAATATTTTAAATACTCGATTCTTAAATAAACAAACTTGAACACTAATGCGTTCTGCTCATTTATGTTCGCAAACAACATTATTTGAAGTTCGTGAACAAGCTCGACATTAAGCTCGATAAGAAGCTCAATAAAAACTCGATTCATGTTCGATTTTGAACTCGTGAATAAGCTCGATAAAAATAATTAATATTTGACTATATAATTAATAAATATAAATAATCATTATCTTTGTTACATAGACAATTGCTTTTATTATAAATGTATTTGTTCATAGATATGTTCATGAACATGTTTGTTTGATAGTTAAAAAAATTCATTAAATATGTTCGCGAACAAGCTCGATAAACACTAAACGAACGAACCTGAACTGAACATGAACACAAACGCTAAAGCTCGAACAAACATGAACCAAACTTGAACAAGCTGATATTAAATGAACACAAACATGAACACTCACATACTCGGCTCGGCTCGGCTCATTTGCAGCCCTAGATTTGGCCAAGGAAATCCCAGTCAAATCTTGGTTAGGGTTAGCCATCATAATCATAGGTGGAAATTTTTATTGCATCTCCAAGAGCTTCCTCATTATCTCCTCAAGATAAGATTTTCCTTGCCCGATCATTCAGCCCGAGGGATAGCCGACGAAGCCTTTGATTGCATCACGATCAACTTCCCCATCATGTCTTCCAGGTAAAGAAACCCTTCCTTCCATGGATGAAAACCTCTCCATGGATGAAAACCTCTTATCCACGACGGCTTTGATTTGCTCACAAATGTGGCAACAACAGCACCAATGCAACGACGCACTGTTCATATCTAAGCTTTTGTTTGGATACCACACCATAATCACCTGAGAAAGATGAATTGCTGCTTGATTGTTAAGCAGCTCATTATATTGCACATTAAATTCAGAGAATTGGAGAGGGAAAAAGGCTTCTCCTTTATTGCACAAAAGTATCCATATTTATAAATATATACAAGATATGTTAATAAGGAAACAAATAATTACATAATAAAGTATGATTGCACTAATATAATCCTTCTTAGATCAGCCACCCAAATATGGAAGAAGGAGATTCTGTGATCCATGTGAGCTTCTCACAAATCCCCATGCTGGCCATAGGATAAAGAGAGAACGGGCGGTTGGGATGGCAGGGTCGTTATTTGACATTACCCATCATCATAAGCATTATCCAAATGCCTTTATCCCAACTATTTGGGGTCCACATAATGAATCCTCTTTACCTAGTCAAACATGTTGAGAATTATTTGGGGCTTTAAATAAGAAATATATTCTTCGCAAATCATTTTGAACAATTCTATCCATTTAACCAAATAGTTCTAAACCCACTCCTCCAAAATCCTCTAACACCAATTTTACCTAGTTGTTTAGTTAGCGCATATTCTACCATTCATTGTGCATGGTCTTTTACAATTACCTCATCTTCCAAAGATTGCATTCCAATCATTGTTCTGATATAATTATTTGTTAATTTATACATACTCGTCCACTGTCATAAATAAAAATGCAAACGGAATACAAGAGATTTAAAAAAAAAAAATCATTCTTAGATATCACTAACACGGAAGCAAATAAAGAAAGAGGTTCAGTGGTGTAATAGAATCTTGTGCATTGATGCATCATAGAAAAACTTTAGAAAAGTGCAGAAAAATATTTTGGACCTGCGTTGAGATAAAAAACTTAAAAATCACAGAAAATAGAAAACAAAGTTCAAATCCACTGTCTCATCTTAAGCTCTAAGAAGCCAGAATAGTGGATGGCAGCATCGGTTGCCTCTTGAGGCCATCCATGATGCGTTGATGCCTTGCCATTCCAGGTGAAACCAACACAAACACATGGAAAGCGCAATGGAGAAAAGACTCAACCATAAGTAGATGTGCTATCCATCATCATCACATCCTCAAGGAGAAAAAAGGTAGAAAGATTTTTCCCTCCTGACATGACATCATGCCTTCTTTCCCCTTGGCACCACAAATCTCCATGCCCCATAAAAGGAATATCAAATATAAGGGAATAAAAAAAAGTAGCTCATATTTTATACAAGGATTTCTTATCAGAATTCAATAATAAATGCTACTTCAACTGACATGTAAAGGGCACCATCTATCAGCAAATTTACAAAATCGAAGCCAGATTGCCAAAACAGATTGCACATCTGAGATGGGTTAGTTGCATTTCGTGATTACCATGGTAATTCATGAAGATATGAATCCGCATAGAGATTATACAGAGAGAGAAAGATAGATGGTGACTACGGCTATCAAAAAAGCACATTATTCTTGTTCAATTGTTTTCAGCTCAATAATTGCTTCATTATGCTTATACATATAAAAACATGCATATATAAAACATGCATATATATGCAAGTTTGCCTATACTTATATGTCTTTGCACGTATATATGCATAGATTTTATATATTCAGATTAATACTTATATTTCTATGAATATACGGACACCAAGGAAAGTACTGTGGGAAGTATTAATAGCAAAAAATTCTGGTACAAGTGTAAAACGTTAGAACCTGCAGGGAAACAACAACATAGAAGTAGGTACTTCATACTTGTAGTAGCAGAAAGATTGGAAAAAGCAGTACCGTGCAAAGTATTTAATACAAGTAGGTTATTTGAAGAGCTTCATGCCATCCTTGATGGCTCATTGCTAGAGTAAATAATCAAACATGGCCAAATTGTCAATGGTTTGCAATAATTTTCACTGCCTCTCCAAAAGAAATGAGAGCCCAAACCCAACCAGTTTGTTAAACGGTTTGACCCAAATTTAGACTTTCTGGGAAGGGCATTGGTAAAGTTTTCGGGTCGAGTCAAAAGCTGACACCCCTACATTGACATCCCTACGCCTTTGCATCCTCATCACTGCAACACTTAATTTTATGCTTCTCTTTTAATAACCAACAATATGCACCACAAAACATTATAGGTCTCACCACCCTCTTATAAAAATTTCTGCTAAGTTTGAGAGATATTCTTATATCACACAACAGCCCTAATGCATTCCATCACTTTAGCCATCCAATTTGAATTCTAGTAAAAATATCCGCATATTTTACCATCACTTTGAACAAATAACCTAAGATATCTAAAGCGTGCACTTTTTTTAATGACTTGATCACCCAATATCACAATCCCACCACTAACTCTAAAATTACACTCCATGTATTTGGTTTTACCACTAGTAAAAAAAAACATTTATACTCTAAGGTTTACCTCCATAATTTAAGTTTTTCATCAACTCTCCCTCAAGTCTTATCAACAAGAAAAATATCATCAACCAAAAGCATACACCAAGGTGCATCCTATTGCAAATGTCTAATAAGAATATCCATGACTAAAGCAAAAAGATATGGGCTTAAAGCTGATATTTAATGTAATCCAACTAAAGAAGGACAAAACTGGGTTTACCTCCACTATTTGAACACAAGCAATAGCACATGTATATATACCCTTAATGACTTGAATATAAGCATTATAAGCTTGTTTCTTTTCAAGAACTCTCCAGGGCATTTCTCTAGAAAATTTATCATATGCTTTCTCTAAATCAATAAATAACATATTTAGATTCTCCATACTCTCTATGCTTCTCCATCAAACTTCTAATATCTATATAACGAAAAAAATGCCCAACGAGTTATCATGGTTACTGCACCGTGCTTTCTAAGAGAGAGAGAGAGAGGAATATCACTACAATATTCCAACACAAAAATAAAAAATAAATAAATAAGCAGCCTTCTAAAGGTCCTCTCACCTCAAGCATAAATAGGTAAGATCATAACATCGGTTGCCTGAGAATTTTCAAGCCAACCATGATGTCACCATTGCAAAATGTGTATAAGAAACCTGATTTCCAGAAGATCAGTCACTTGTTGGCAATCACCACCAGATTTCTTCCAAGAGAAATCTCAATGATTACATTTCTGAGGCAAACAAAAGAAGACTATAACTATCAGCCATTAATTGTAAAAATATGTCTCACCATCCTTATAATTCTCCTCATTGTCCACACAAATCCAATATTTTTTTCAAGTTAAGGGAAATTTTATTGCAAGTAGAATATCAGACATATATGCAAGTTATGTTTGTATTCATGTGCATGTGTGTGTGTCAATATATATATATATATATAAAGAGAGAGAGAGAGAGAAAGAGATGGGGGGGTTAAAATCCTTCTGAATTTCCAATGTTGTTGCATGGAGCTTCAATAAAGAGATATCCAAAGACAACACCTTAAACTTTATCATAAAAAAAAAAAGAGAAAAAGAGAGATTTCAGGGGGGGGAGGGATTAAAATCCTTCTGAATTTCCAATGTTGTTGCATGGAGCTTCAATAAAGAGATATCCAAAGACAACTCAAACTTTATCATAAAAAAAGAGAAAAAGAGAAAGATTCCAGGCTGTCCTCCCTACTCAAGCCCAAATTAAAAAAATGGAAGCATCTGTTACTTGAGCAATTTGCGGAATATAAAGTCATTATTGATGCCTCACCATTCTGAATTAAAGAGATGAGAACTCAACCATGGAAGATTCAAAGAGGAAAATGCATTATGGCATGAACACTTTATAAAACAAATAAGCACTGGCAATTAAAAATTAATAACAGCCATGATGCAAAAAACAACATGGTGCAAAAAACAACGAGGCATGCTTTTTCACCAATAATATCATATAATAATAATAATAATAATAATAATAATAATAATAATAATAATAATAATAAAAATAATAATAATAATGACTAAATTTCAAAAGTAAAGAAGAATGGGAGATCAAGACTAGGGAAAGGAGTCAGATGACAGCAAAATCCATCAAATAAAGCAAGTAGAGAAGCTTTCTACATATAGCTCCGTATGAATCCCCATTTTAATGCCGGCTATCGTTGTCTCAAAAGCCGTAGGACATCCAAAGATTCCAAATTACAGATAAGAAACATAGTGATATCCATGAGTAGATGGTGACGAGCACGAATTAAAAAGCATTGAGAATTGATGTATCAACAAAAAATTATATTGATCGAGCATGAATCTCGAGGCAATTTCGCATTGAAAACTTTCAAAATTAAATTCGGGGCCATCTGAACTTCAATTTCAACAAACTTATAGTGGAATTGAACGTCTCGAAAAGACGAACCCAAAGACACCAAATACGACCCCATCCAACCAAGAATGGGTCCAAATCAAAAGACCCGAAGCACATTCGGAAGGTTCAAACCAAAAATTGAATGACCAAACGATTCACAAATGTGACATGCTTATAGTCAAATCACGTGGCTCGACAAGCAAAATCCAACAAGCCCAAGATCACCAAATTATGATATCATTAAGATATGCAAATACTCAATAAATGATCCGCGAACAAAGGAGTCGATATCGACCGTCCATTCAAAACATTTCAAAACTAATTCTTCCAACTCCCACCATGTAATTCACTCAATATAATGTATATTGGCAACATCAAGCAAAGGGCTTCCCCCTTAAGGGCCTCATTTGTAATCAGCTGCAAACACTAGTAGATTCATTTAAACTAGGCAAGGCAATGTGTTTTTTCCTCTTTTTAGGATTTTCTACGTAAAAATTTTGGTATCTTTGACGAATGTTATAACTCTACTATTTTATCTGCATAAGTGCAGGATTTTCGTATAAAGCTAAGATGCTAAACTTTATATTTCTCAACCACCACGAATATTCCAGGACACAACAAGAATAATGCTTCCAAAACAATCTCATCCACTGATCTACAATAAATATGGATCCGCAACTACTCAGAGCATGAATTCCATTGGAATTTTAAAGAGAATAATGCTTCCTACCCAGCACATTACAAAACATCAATAACCCAACATAATTGACTAAATTCCAAAAGTAAAGAAGAAGAATGAGAGACAGAATATGGACAGGGGTCGGATGACAGCAGAATCCATTATATAAGGCAAGTAGAAAGCTTTATGCTGATAGCTATGTATAAATCCCCATAGTAATGCCAGCTGTTGTTGCCTCATAAGCTGCAGGACATCCAAAGATTACAGATCATAAAAATAGCAAGCATAGGGATATCCATGCGTCGTTAATGGCTAATCCCTAGGACTGTCTGGATAAAGGATTTAACAGGATTTATGCCGATTTTGAGCACGATTTTTGCCAAATCCTGCGAACGAGATTTGAGCGCCCGCTAAATCTCACGGAAGAATAAATCCTTCGTCTCCCTCATTGGCCGTAAATCCGGGATTTAATAAATCCAGAAACCTCTCGGATTTGGGATTTGGCTGAAGAAGAGCGTGAAAGGGAGAATGATAGTTTCCTTAACAGAGAGAAAGCCCCTCGTAGTGGCTTCCAATTAAAATGTCAAGACTTCCGATCCAACAAGAAGAGAACCTTGACTAGCGAAGTCGAACAACAATGGAGCCGAAGAAGTGACTCATGCAAAAGCTCTAACTCACGTGAAGCAACAAAGTCGAACAACAATGACGAAATAGACGAGATGTAAAGCAAACCGTAACAATGACGAAATAGACAAGATGTAAAGCAAACCCTAGACGCCTATGCGAAGAAATTAGTCTAATTAGTCTAATTGAACTTAATTAATATAATTTAAAATGTGAACGGCGGACTGTAATGACTTGGGATTCAACATAAAGGAGCATTGTCGAAGAAGGCAAAGAAGTCACTTCTTTTCAATAACTCTCCGGGCCATTTCTCTTGAAACTTTACCATAAGCTTTCTGTAAATCAATAAATATCATACTTTATCTGTACTTCTCCAATCAAAAATATAATATCTATATAATGAAAAAAAAATGCTCAACAAGGTAACATGGTTACTACACCGTGCTATATGAGAGAGAGAGAGAGAGAGAGATTAATATGACAAATAGTTTCCAAAGAAAAATAATAAATAAATAAATAAGCAGCCTTCAAAAGGTCCTTTCATCTCAAGCTTAAATAGGTAAAAATCATAACATCGGTTGCCAGAGAATTTTCAAGCCATCCATTATGTTCACCATTGCAAAATGTGTATAAGAAACCTGATTTCCAGAAGATCAGTCACTTGTTGGCAATCACCACCAGATTTCTTCCAAGAGAAATCTCAATGATTACATTTCTGAGGCAAACAAAAGACAACTATAACTATCAGCCAATAATTGTAAAAATATGTCTCACCATCCTTATATTTCTCCTCATTGTCCACACAAATCTAATATTTTTTCAAGTTAAGAGAAATTTGATTGCAAGTAGAATATATATATATATATATATATAAAGAGAGAGAGAGAGAGAGTGGGGAATGGATTAAAATCCTTCTGAATTACCATTGTTGTAGCACAGAGCTTCAATAAAAAGATATCCAAAGACAACTCCTTAAATTTATCAAAGAAAAAGAGAAAGCTTTCAGGTTGTCCTCCCTGCTCAAGCCCTAATTAAAAAAATGGAAGCATCTGTTCCTTGCGGGATACCAGGTCAATGTTGATGTCTCACGATTCTCAATTAAAGAGATGAGAACTCAACGATGGAAGATTCAAATAGGCAAACGCATCATGGCATCAACACTTAAAAAAAACAAATAAGCACTGGCAATTCAAATTTAACAACAGCCACAACAACACATGGTGGGAAAACCAACGAGGCAAGCTTTTTCCACAACAATAACATATGCTGATCCACTATAAATATACATCTAGAACTACTCAAAACAGGCATGTCATTGGAACTTCAAAGAGAATAATGCATCCAACACTGCACATTATGAAACATCCAGAACCCAAAAGGACTAAATTCCAAAAGTAAAGAAGAAAAGAAGAATGAGAGACCAAAACTAGGGATAGGGGTCAGATGACAGCAAAATCCATCAAATAAGGCAAGTAGAGAAGCTTTCTACAGATAGATCCGTATGAATCCCAATTTTAATGCCAGCTGTCGTTGTCTCATAAGTTATAGGACATCCAAAGATTCCAGATCACGGAGAAAAGAAACATAGGGATATATACATGTGTAGATAGTGGCTAATCATTAAATCATCATCATTATGCTGTGTATGGAACTCATAAAGAGAAAGAACCTCAGATAACAGCATTGAGAATAATGCTTCACTCCCCCAAAAATAATGAAGCGTTCTGAGAAGATAAAGTTGCCTCAAGTATATAAAAGCCTTTTGATATGCAATGAAGAGAGAGAAAGATAAAAGGTAACTGGATAGTAGAAAGCGAGCTGCCAATGCAATACGCCACAATAACTACCCACTAAAATGCTAAAATAGTTACCTCTAAGTGCCTGTTTGGATGCAGGATTTGAGCTAAATCCGGCCAAACGGCAAAAAAGGTAAATTAAAGTCTGATGGTAAGTCTAAGGAGATGTTTGGTAGTGCGATTTAAGAAGGATTTGTCGTAAATCCTGCAAACGGTTTGAGAGCACGCAATTAATCAGAATCGATCGTAAATCCTGGACTTACAAATTTACGGTGTAAATCCGGAATTTACTAAATTGTGTTATTCCGCAGATTTAACGGGATTAATGGATTTGCAAAGTTCTTCAACGGCAAGCAAGTAGCTCCCGTATTTGAAGAGGCAAACATGGTTACCTACGCAACAAGTAAGCTCCCGTCACGACTTCCAATTTAAAGCCTTCCAAGGAAACGAAGAAGCTGCTTTAGCAACTCTATCAAAAACAATTTAACGCAAAGCCAAAGAAACCACAAAGAAATGGCGACGGCCTCCTAAATTTCAAATTAAAAAATATCATTATGTGTAGTCCTTCTTACTCTCTATACTTCTCCATCAAAACTCTCAATACATATATAACGAGAAACATGCTCCACAAATTACCAATGGTTATTGCAGAGACAGTAGGAAATATGACTAATGAATTCCAACACAAAAATAAAAATAAATAAGCAGCATTTTAAAAGTCCTATTACCTCAAGCATAAATACGGAAAATCATAACATCGGTTGCCTGAGAATCTTTTGGCCATCCTTGATGTTATAAGAAACCTGGATATCCCTGTATGGATCAATGACTTATTGGCAATCACCAGCATAATTCTTCCAATAGAAATCTAGATGATTACATTATTGAGGATTTGCAATATAAGCAGCTTTCTAAAAATCCTGAAATTTCGCTGATTTATAAGATTTGGGATTTGGCCGAAGAAGCGAGCGACAGGGAGAAAGATAAATTCCTTTACAGCGAGCGAGCTCCCAGTAGTTACTTCCAATTAAAATGTCGAGACCTTCGATCCGACAGGAAGGGAACGTCGTCGAGCGAGCGAAGTCAAACAGCAACAAAAGAGCCGAAGAAGCGACTCGAGCAAAAACCATGCCTCACGCGAAGCAACGAAGTCGAACAGCAACGACGAAATAGAGAAGATGTAAAGCAAAACCCTAGACGCCTATGCGGAGAAATTAATCTACTTAGTCTAATTGAACTTAATTAATATAAGCTAAAATTAGAACAGCGAACTGACATGAATTGGGATTCGACAGGAAAGAACGTCGTCGAAGGAGGCAAAGAAGTCATTTAGCGAGTCGTTCAAAACTCTACCTTTCAGGCGAAGTAGGCAAATTCGAACAGCCACCAAGAGCTTGAGAAGAGGTAAAGAAAACCCTAGCAAACCCACGGCTAAAGAAAGAGCAAAGAAACTGGAAAATGACAGATAATAGCAGAGAAGTATAACACGCGAATAAATTTATTTAACATAACTATTTAATTAAAATATAATTAAAAATAATTAATTACAAAAACTGATTGTTAATAAACTTAAATTATAACTACAATATTTATAATAATTGTACTTAAATATAAATAATTAATAACTAACAATTAATTCATAAATACCTACAAATATAATAAAATTTAAAATTAATAAGTTATTTTAAAATTAAATAATTTTCAATTATATTGACAGTAATTAAAAATTTACTTAAAATATAAATTAAAATTAATTTTTTAATGAACTAGCTGCCATATATCTTAGATTATATTGCTAAGCAAGATTTAAAACTTATCTTACCAAATAATTTTCGAGATTTCAATTTAATAGGATATTGACTTGTTGCAAAATAACAACATAGACAACATAAAGAAAGAGACGAGAAAAACATTCCCTGAAATTACAAGCAGTGCTTATAGAAAAATTATAACTCTCCAAAAGGAGTCTTTATTCCGTCAGGTTACTTGATGTAGCTCTACGTCAGGTAACCAATAATATGTCATTACGTGCTCTTACTCTTTACCGTGCGGCCCGACGACCCGACTCGGATCGAATCCGGGATTATTATGTTCGTGGATTTCTCGATATTTGCTCGGTATTGCTAGGTATGACTCGGTATTGATTGACAATAATAAGAAATACAGCTCTGTGAAGACCAATACCGAGTAATACCTAAAAGAACTCGGTATTGATCTGTATTGCTCGGTATTGCTCCGTATTGGTCTTCACAGAATGATATTTTTCATTTTTATCGAGCAAAATCGACAAATACCTAACAATACCGAGCAATACGCAAACTCCCGGGTCCGTTCCAGCTCGGGTTGTCGGCCGCACGATAAAAAGTAAGAGCATGTGGCGACATATTATTGGCTACCTGACGTAGAGCTCTATCAGGTAACCTGACGGAATAAAAACTCCTCCAAAAGATCTCCTTGAATACCATTGATTGTTACGCAACCCCTTCGACAATAAATATTCTAACTTCTTGAGCATTATCAATCATCATCAATATCTCTATGAGAAGAGTATAAAAAATAAATTCAATAGCTAATAAGAACTTTCATAACATTGCACACCACCTTATTAAAACAAAGAAGTAGAACCCAAATGCATAAAATAGAAAAACCTAGATGTGATATTTAATTCTTCTTAATCATTCCAAAATTTTAAATAAGAATGCACTTCCACACGTTCATACTTGAGGAGCATAAACACTCCTAACATTAATAATTTTAGAGTCAACAACAATTTTTTAAGCTATAATTTTATCACCAATTCTACTAATTTCTCGAGTAATTATCATTCTATTAATATTAAACATTTACTCAAATCCATTTAGTTTTATGAATTATTAAATACATAGAATATTTATCTTCCTAAGAATCATCAAATGTATTAATTATATTAATGTATCTTTAAGAGAACTTATATTACAAGTTCCTAACACAATTCTAATATCATGGACTAACTTCTTTGCCGGAATTCTTCCATAATATGAGAACCCTTCCTTATTTAGCATTGCAAAACTAGCAAAAGTAGAGCCGTTGCAAGAGGTCACATATAATATCTAATCTTTTACTTAGGATACCACACCATAATCACTTGAGGAAGAGGAATTATCGGTCGATAACTAACCATTTCATTATATTGTCCATCATCGTCATTAGCCATATGCCTTTGACTCCCAAGATAAAAACTTAAAAATCACAAAAACAGGTCTAATAACTTTTACACACTTCATTTTCTTTAAAACCTCTCTAACTTCTATTTTACTAATGTGCCGATAAAAAGAAAAATCTTTTCCAACCTTAAAGTCACTAAAATCAATCGTATTCTCACAATATTCGTTGAAAACTATAGCAAAATATCTCAACAACTGTTGTTGAATATCTTCGTCTAATAAAAGCACCTTTCAATCTTTCATTCATAATGCACTTCACTTGAACTAATGAAGCCGAAGAAGAAAGAAGAAGGCTCAGATGATGAAAAATGAGTCTATGACATACAGCAAGTAGAGAAGCTTTGCTATGCTTGAATTCCCTTTGTAATTTCAGTGGTGGTTGCCTGAGAAACTCCAGGCCATCCAGAATGCCATGCCATAGTAAATAAAGAAAATATTCAATATAAATTCTAAAAACATCAACATCCTCGCCCTCTCAACTTTTTACTCGAACAAATAACCACAACACATTATTACACGTTATATTTATGGTACAAATCTTTGCAACTTTCAAACATTTTGACCTTCTTAATTGTATTTCAGGGTGAAAATGAGGCAATTGATAGGATTTTCATATAAAAAAGCAAAAATAATATACCCCTTCAATGCAATTTCATATCAGCATGCATAAAAATTAGAATCGAAACTTAGACAATTGAACTTATAAAGTAATTAATAAGGAGGTTCTACATAATTTAGTTTGCAAATAACCAACGACTTTTTCCATTACATATATAGATAGAAACATAGAGAGCGAGAGAGATGTGTTATTGCCAACAAATGCATTAGGAATCTTCTGACATTGCATTAAACATAGAACTTGATAAGCATCACAAACTACTTCCCTCTGACATGAATTGAATTTATAGAATACCTTCATAGCAATTGCAATGAAAACATTAGGATCCAACAACAGTTCCTTGTTCCCAACAAAAATAAGAATCAAAATCCGGTAATGTAAAAGAAACTTCATCTCCCTTAATCTGGCTCTAAATGTCAAATATATGGTAATTTTTCCACCTCTACCTCTTTAACTCCCTCTCATCTTATCAATGTTGTTGCATGGAGCATCAATAAAGAAATATCCAAAGACGCCACCAGCACTCAAGTCATAGAAAAAGAGAAGAAGCTTTCACGCTTCCCTCTCAGCTTAAGCCGCAATAAAAAAAATGGGAAGCATCGGTTACTTGCAGATATCTGGTCATCTTTAATGTCTCATCATTCTCAATTAAAGATATGTTAGGTAAAACATAAAAATTTCAATTCAACCCTAACAAGAGAGGAGAAAACAGCAAATCGTTCCGCGAATTTTATGGGAAAATCAGCAAACGATAATGATTATTGAAGAAATCAAAGCTAACGGAAGAAACAAAACAAGATACATTTGACCCTACATTTAAGAGGAGGATCGTTCTCTCTCAATCCCTAGACGAATCTAGGGCCCAAGACACCAATAACAAGAACTCCAAAATCAACCACAAAATAATTCATAACACTAACCCTTTTCCGAGTAAATAATTGCAGCTGGAATTTGCCGAAAACAGCCCTCCACCGGTCCCAAGACTTGCTCTGATACCAATTTGATAGGAAATACTTGGGTTCAAAAGTAATCCTATCGGAAATACTTGAGTTCGCAAGCAACCCTAACAATGACTTGGTAAAATAGCGAGAAAGAACACAATAATACTAATGAAATCAACTCAAAACAACAGATTTGATTATATAAGATAAAGCAAAGCAAACATAGAACAAGATACAATTGATCCTCTATTCGAGAGGATGATCGTTCTCTCCTAATCTCTAGACACCAAGTCTAGAGCCCAAGACACCCAAGAAACTCCAAGAGAACAATAATCAAGCATACCTACCTTAGCCCCTTCGTCCCCTTTAAATAGTCCTCTCCACGTCCTTAAAAACTTTCTAATATAAAATATTTTTAATTAATACTAAAGATATCAAATCTTTTAATTAATTACATCCACCTCCTTAAAAACTTCCTAATATAAGATATCATTTAATTAATACAAAAGATATCAAATCTTTTAATTAATTAAATACACTTCCCTAATATAAACTAATTTCAAAATTCCTTCCCCTCTCTCCTATTGCCGCCTCAAGGGGGGCCCACAAGCTGGGCGGAAACATATCAAGGAGGCAGCTTAGCCCGCCTCTTGTAGAACTAAACCGGCCCCTCCTGGGCTGGTTTGGTTGGTTCCATAACAGTAAACAACTAAATAGAAGTAGGTTCCTGTAGTAGCAGCAACATTGGTAAAAAAGTACTGTGGTAAGTATTTAATAGCACTACAAGTAAGTTGCTAGAAGTAGAAGAGCTTCATGCCATCCTTGATGCCTCATTACCAGAGTAGAGTAAGAATAAAACATAGTCAAATTGTCAATGGTTAGCAATAAAATTGTCGTGGCCTCTCCAAAAAAAATCCATCATCTAACAGCCAGAGAAACATAGCAAAGCTAAGCACCAAGAAATGATGATGGATATATTGTCACAGTCATAGCAACAGAAGCTGAAGATGACTTTATTAGTGAATAGATGGTTAGGGAGCTAGGCACAACAACTGAAAGAACTAAGCTTTAAGAGTAATGAGCAAGAATAAGAAGAGGGAGAAGAAGAAGAAAAGACGAACAAAAAAAACGAAGGCTTAGATGACAATGAAACCCTGACATAAGATAAGTAGAGAAGCTTTGCTACACTTTAAGTCACATGCAAATGGAAGACGTGGTTGCCTGAGATGCTCCAGGCCATCCAGACATGCCATATCATGGGAAACATTGCAATATTTCATAATTTTCATGTGTAATCAATGGTTGAAGTCTAAACTCTAAATCATCATCATCATTGCCCTCACAACTTTTCACTCATAAAAGAGATAATATCATCACACTATTACATATTGGGAATGCCAACAATCTTGAAAAATGCCATATGATTAGCCCATTTAAAATATATTTCATGGTGGAGATGAGGCAACAGATATGATTTCCATCTGTAAATTAAAAACATTATCCCCCATCAGTGCAATTTCAATTTTACTTTCATATGGAGAGATTGAGAAATTCCACCAACATGCATAAAAAATAGAATGGAGACATGCTCTTGACTTTATAAGGAAATGAATAAGGAGAGGTAGCATCACTTGAGTTGTCAATATTAAGGCTGCAAGAGAACCAAATGTTTGACGAGCTACTCGTTGCTCGGTTCGATT